CGGGGGGAGGAGCGCTGAGACGCCCGCAGAGCGTGGGGGGCCCCTGAGCGGTGCTGTTAGTGCCCTGCCCCGATCTGATGATCAAGAGGACGCCCATGTATATGCCGTTTGTGAAAATTCACTGCACTGTACCCTCATGATCTGTACACAGTTCTGCATACACCGTACTTCAATAAAAGTTAAAAATGAAAAGGGTATCCAAGTTAAAACCCAGAGGAACACATGCTGAGTTAGCACTTGGGCACCTGAGCTTCAATAACATGGATTCGGTGAGGGTGGGGCCAGGACACACGCACTTCAGTGAGCTCGCGAGGCCTCCGTGAGTTAGGGATGGATGTGAGCGTATGTTCCTGTAGCTGCTTACATGGAGTGAGAGAGCCAGGTTGATTTTCAAAACGGAAACAAGTCCAACCAGCCGTAGAGCAGCACAAGCACAGGGGACTCTTAATTCAAACTCTCAACACTGTTTTATCACTATTAATTGAACGGGCTGTAATGTTTTGAACAGTTTGGATGCTCAACACCCTACAAGTTGTGCTGGTAAATGATAAAACGTTAAAGGGGGGGGGGGGCAATACATTCTTAGTTGACCCGAAGGATACAAGTCCATAGATGGCCGAGTGTGGGGGAAAGAATTCTTTCAAAATTAAAGCAAAGGAACACAGTGGGGGGAGAGGACATTATTGTTAGCGTCACAGCCCTGCATGAAACAAAAAGCCTGCCACTGACAACTGGAAAAGGGAGGGGAGATGGGGAGACATGAACACATAAGACCATAAATGCTTATATTCCTATTTAAGAGGAAAAGCCCAGAAAGAAGAGTCTCCATCTCTACACAAATTCGCAGTGAGCACACATATAACACAAAAAGAAAAGGCAATGCTACAACTTCCACTTTACGGATTAGTAGCTCAGCTGACAGGTGCTTCTAACATTTATGATGTGGAATTTTAGGTTTGACACTCAAGCAAAGAACACCTGCCTTACCCATAAATTTTTAACATAATTTCATTTTACTTGAAAATAATGTTAATTCTTCTGTGTAGTAGACTGGAAAATCATTCAATAGACTGAATAAAGTTGTTTTTAAAAAGGACCTGTCCCCAAATTCAGTATTTTTGACTTAAGAATTTAAAATGACTCATTAAGAATTGCTAGCAGTATATACACTTCCCATTGTGCATGACCAATCATTCCAGGTTTTTAAAATAAATGGATGGAGCCTGAAGCTTATAGAAAGACACTGTTGCAGCACTCAGTGACAGCCTCACAGGTAGCTGTTTGCCCTTGCTTTCCCTGCTCCTGAATCGCATGTGTAAAAGGTCAAGGTTAGGTCACAAGGACTACAACATCAGGGGAGGGTCGAGGCAGGATGAGAGACAGCAGAGGGGCAGAGTCTTCTCTGTTCGCTAGCGCTCCCTCCTGTCAAAGCGAAGGCGGGAAGAACATCGACACAGCAAGGGACGTTTCTCTTGTTAGGTTTCAGTTCCCTTAGGTCAGACAGTAAGAGGTTTACTTCAGAAAACACCCTCCACTTTGGATTTCAAGTATTTGAGCATCACTAATCCAAGCCAGAATCAAACGACCCAAACTCAAACTGCTCAATCAAAACTGTGGAAAACTAACATATACACGATGCCTTTATAAAACAAGAAAACCACAAGTATGCCCCAAACACCACTGCAGCTAAAACACGGCATTTCCCTTTTAAAACTGATGTGCTTTCTTTAGTTTTCCCTCCCCAAGCCCGGGCTAACCATGATTAAGTCAAATCTTATGTAAAAAAAGACTTTACCTTTAATTTCTTATTTATCTTGCAACAATATCTGTAAAGCATTGCCAGATTGAGTGGTCCAAAATCTGCGTAGAAGCTTTAAAAGTAAAACACAAAAACATATACGTATATTCTAGATGCCCTGAATATTAACGCCTTTTTGGAGCTACAAGATCAAATTCAGACAAGAAAGCATACACCAAACTGTTATCAGTCACACTGCCTTAAGAACTGGAAGAGATAATCTGGTAAATAATGCCTATTAAAAAAATGGTTTAACACCTATAACCTCAAATAATATATGAAAATGCTTTCTGAATAATAAAAAAAGCTGTTTTCCCACTGGTAAAGACACATCTTAATACATTAGCGTATATTTCATTGTACTGTAAACTATTAGCATTTCAAATATAAGTTATTAAATTTAGAAAGATTCTTCCATTTTGAGTTTTTCCCTAAGGATCTACTTTATTACTAAAGGTTAAAGGAAAATTAAAGGAAAAACATCCTGCAATTATCAGTCAACAGATTTGTAATCTTCCAAGGTTATCCTATTTATAAACATACCTTTAGATTCTTCAAAATTAAAAAAAGTTACTAACAATCTTTTAAAAACCAATACTTACTTCTCATATTCAAGTTCATTATCTATGGTGAAATAATGTACATTTGATGAACTCTTTGGTCTGCTGCAGAGAATGGCAAAACAAAGGCGATCTGAAATGGAAAAATTGCAATGTTCCTTCCTTCAGGTTATTTTTTAAATTTTCATATATCATGATACAACTCTTTTCAGATGAAGTCAGATTTTTATTTTTTCCATACAGGTTTCTGATGGTAAGGATGCCAACAGATACTTTCAAAAGGTTCTATTTTGATGAGTGAAAATAAGTAAGACTATTTTTGAAAGGAGCAATTGCCTTTAAGCATAAGTTTCAGTAAAGACAAGTGACTTTTCACGTAGCAGTATGGCTTGATTTCTGGAGGGAACTCTCATGCAAAACCTTACTTCCTCTGTACTAAGAAATCTGAACAGATGGCAGTGTGCACTTGATGGTGAGCCAGCAAGCAGGCGGCTTTCGCGATGCATCACTGTTTTCACGACATCCTAAAGAGTCATTCAATAAGAAACCATATTTTAAGCAAAGAGCGCTTTCAAAACTGCTTCAGAATTAAGGTTTAAGGCTATAGAACATCAGCAACAAAATGAACCAGATGTTTATCCAACTGTTCTTAGGGATCACCACTACTTTTGTAGTGACGTTTACAATTAGGCAAATTACCATTGCAACAGAAGCAATGAGAGGTATCTGCATGAGTGCGCCATGAACTTGTGTTGCATAAATGCAGTTAGGCAGCCATGAGGTGAGAGTTTAGAAAGAATGATAACTGGTGCTAATAATGTTCTGAGGCGCCAACCTTCCTCCCCCGCTTTAACCCAGAAAAAGTTGCCTAAAAATCCTGGCAAAGCAGTTATCTGCAATACCCAGTTGTAGCAATACTAGCAGTGCTAGTAGATATACTTACACTTAAATTGTAGCAAAATCAAGTCCAGCCTTTAAAATAGTAAGAAAAAAGGACGCCAGCTGGCATCCTTTGCCCAAATGGTAATTGTCAGCGATTCAACTCACGCAATGGCTGTATTTATTTCCTTGTAAACTGCTCAGCTAAAATGTCTTGCAACCGCAAACACTCAGAAGGGTGACGGGCTTACTCTTTGCCAACCACAAATGACCCTTGATCCCCGCGCAGTGACCACAGATTCTGCTCCCTTGGGTGGAGACGCAGGTCACCTGCCAGCCAGGGGCTTCCCACGGCACAGGTCTGTTCACAGTCACCCCAAAGCAAGAGCGCGCGAGGGGCTGGGCGTCCGGGAAGGCCACCCACGCCCTGGAGACAGCGCTGGCCCCGGCCGGCCCGGAAAGCCGAGGGCACCTCCTGGCCAGCAATGGGCCTCCCCCATCCGGCCCCGCCTCCTGC